AACGATAGTCCCTTTTCGCCGAGGCATGATATAAAGCGGCTAAGAGCAGCCATGCACCCTATGAGCTTTTGTATATCCTTTACGTAGGTTGGTCGTTCATATTGGTAATGGCAGAGACCTTGTTAGGGTTGGGTTCGATACCATGGGCGCTGAACGATATAGCCCAGGAGTATGCTAGATGGAACTCCAAAGATGCACTTTGAAGGGTTCAACTTCCATCTGTATCTTTTCAGGTTGGCGAACGTTTCTTCGAGGTCGATGATGAGACTATCGGTGGTTTTGGATTTGACAACCACATCATCGATGTAAGCTTCGATGTTGCGGCCGATCTGTTGGTCACGACACATCTAGATGGCCCTTTGGTAGGTCTCCTCGACGTTCTTGAGTCCAAAAGACATGGTGGTATAGCAATACGTACCTAAAGGCGTGATGAATAACATTTTGATCTGGTCGTCCTCTTTGAGGGATATCTGGTGATAGCCGGAGTAACAGTCGAGGAAGGAGAGGAGTTCGCACCCGGTGATGGAGTCTACAACCTCATCTATTCGAGGTAGACTGAAGGGGTCTTTAGGGCAGTGTTTGTTGAGATCGGTGTAATCAACGAACATTCTTTATTCTTTATTCTTCTTTTGAACAAGGACTAGGTTTGCCAGCCACTCAGGATGATACACTTCTTTAATAAATCCGACTGATAGGAGCCATTTTATTTCTACCTTAATAGCCTCCTTCTTGTCTGGCATGAATTGTTGGAGTTTTTGCTTGATCGGCTTGGCGGTCGATGAGACATTCAAGGAGTGCTCGATCTTCTCCCGTGGTACCCCTAGCATGTCTACAGGTTTCCAAGCAAACACATCGGCGTTGGCACATAGGAAGGAGACGAGCGCACTTTCCTATTTGGGGTCGAGAAGAGCCCCAATTTTGGCGGTCTTGGTGGGGTCATCAAGGCCGAGGCCGACCTCCTTTGTTTTCTTGGACTTGGCAGAGGCACGTGGAGGCTCCAACGCTGGGATCTCCAGGTCGTCGGCGGGCACCATCTTGGCATCATTGACCATGCTGGCCATCTGGATGGAGAGGTCGGTGGCTTCAACGAGGGAGAGACTCTCTGTTTTGTAGGCATAGGCGATGGAGAGGATGGCCCGCAGAGCCAGAACTCCAATAGGCAAAGGCATCTTCAATACCAGATAGGCATAGTGCGATATGGCCATGAACTTGGCCAGAGCTGGCCAACCAAGTATGGCGTGGTAGGCGGTGTTGAAGTCAGCGACGTAGAAGTTGATGTGCTCGACACGGAAGTTGCTAGCCATGCCAAATTGTACTGGAAGGTGATCTCTCCAAACGGTTTGGATGCCCTGCTAGGTACCACACCCTAGAAGGAGGAGTCAGAGGGAGTGAGGTCTTCTATTCCAAGGCCTAGCTCCTTTAGGGCCCCGGCAAAGAGGAGGTTCAGAGCACTTCCACCGTCGAATGAGTACTTTCCTGAAGAGTACTTTCTTGATGGTTGCATCAAGAACGAGGGGGAAATGCCCCGTGTAAGGGATGTCTGCCCACTAGTCGGCCTTACTGAAGGTGATGGGGACCTCATAGGGGGTGATAGCTGGGGTTGGCGATGGCGTCTTCTGTGTTGACGATGAGCACCCGACGGGCGGTGAGCTTTCGATCTCTTCTGCTCTCGGTGGCGGCGAGGCCCCCGAAGATAGTGGCGACCACTTTGTCGTGATCCTAGAAGGCATTGTTGTTGTCCCCGGTGGTGGTGGCAATCTCTAGCTCCGTCATTGTTGTCGCCGTCCTTCTTTTTGGCCTATAACTCCTTAGCCAAGCCAAGGTAGTCCTTCATCTTGTGCTTGCTGTTCTTGTGGAGGGGGTAGGGGCCTTCAAGGATTTTCTTATACTTCTTGTCATAGTTACGCTTGGTGCGAGGCTCATCAACGGTGGCGATGATGTGGTCTGGTCGATGGTGGCGATATTGACCAGCTTTGGACCCTTCCTGGCGATCACAGCCACTGTCCTGATGGTGGCCACAGTCATCGTAGGGGTGATCACTATGGCATCGTTCAATGGGGGCGCTCGTCGCTGCGGTGAGTTGGGCGATGAGTGCCCACATCCTCGTTGAAGCGAACTTCAGCCTCTTCAGCGTCGGCGTACTAATCGGTAGTTGTGACCATCTCGCCAATCCCCTTTGGTGGCTTACGATTGAATTTGGAGCGGAGGTCACGGTGATGGAGTCCTCGGACGAAGGTGGTGATGACTTCTGCTTTCGTGATGTTGGGAATAGAATTCCTCATCTCAGGAAAACGTCTGATGTAGCTACGGAGGAGCTCAAACGGCTTCTAATAGATGCGATTCAGATCATGCTTAGTGCTCGGCCGAGTACACGTAGCCATGTAGTTGTCGGTGAAGACCTTCTTTGGCTATTCCCAAGATCCGATGGAATCCGGGGCAAGGCTCGTGAGCCAGTTCATTGTTGTTGGTGTGAGCATGATGGGAAGAAAGTTCACCATAACACTGGTATCTCCCCTGGCGGCATGCACAGCGGTGGCATAAGCTTGTAGCCACTATGTGGGATTCATCCGCCCCTCGTAGGGCTCGACCCCGGTGATTTTGAAACCATGGGGCCACTGGAGTGTTCGGAGTGCCCTTATGAATGCTCGGGCCCTTTGGGATTGTCACCATCGTGATCTACAGCATTGTGGGCAATAAGTGACTAGAGGGTTGCATCCGGATTACCAAACTCTTGCTCGTATTCTTGACGTCGGTGTACTTCCTCTTCATGGTGAGAGAAACAGCGCCCGTCGATATGATGTCGCACATCCCGGAGGTTGTTGATGTGCGCTCGGACATCTTGGTCGTGTTGGCGAGGGTAGTCGATATGGTTCCCCCTAGCTCCCCCCTAGAGGGGTTGTCCGTCATCACGATGTTGGTTGGCGAAACGGCTTCTGTCGGGGCGGCGATTGGATCTTGGCGTGGTGGATCGGCAATTTGAGCTTGTCGAGTAGGAAGATCCCTGATCCTAGCAGATCTCGTTGACCTGGCAGTGCGCCATTTTAAGCATGGCGGTGACCTTGATGACTTCTGGCGTTTGCTCAAGCCAAGCGAGCTCATTAGCAGCCACAGCCAAGTTGGTACTTGGGGTCTTGTAGATGTCGTGGCCGTCGACATGGACGAATTTGTCATCAAGGTTACGGCGAAGTGGGTGTGGCCTCCCTTGCGAGTCATGTTGTTCTTCATTGTGAGCAGCCTCGGCTAGCACAATGGCGGCCTCATTCGCTCGGCGCTGTGCGCATGGTTGGTGTTTTTGTTGACACGAGCGGTGTGGTCCTCATTGGTTTCTTCGTCCCGTGGAGGGTGTCGACGTTGACATTAAAAATCCTACCTCCTCAGAAGGGTAGGAAAGGAGGTTGGACGGTGGCGGTTTCGGCGACAATCTCCGTAGATCCCTAGGACTCGAGTCTAGGATTTTCCTCCAGGATGGTGTGGAGGGATGCTTCAGGACGTCGGCTGATTTGCAGCATATTGATAGTCGGCAAGAGCTGATCAGCGATCGGGTCGACGAGAGGATATATATCTCAAACCTGGTCGACGAATTTGCCCCTTAGGGCATCCTAATGGGTGGTGGTTGTATCCCCTAGAGTTTTCTGATCGGCCTCCGATAGATTGGAATCGGAGGGTAGTCGGCGGTGAACAAGAGTGGTTAGAGCCGATTCCACGATGGAGAGGCAGTTGAGCGAGCTTCTGGCCATCCTGATTGATGGATGCGATCAAATCATCGTTGTCGATCTGCTCCTTGGGTAGCGGGGGAGCAGGCGGTGAGTTGTTGGTGAAGATGACATCAAAGGCGGTTCCGAGATTGGATCTGCTGTTGCAGGTGCTGGTGTGGTCGGCGTAGAATCGATCTGCACCCGCTCGATGATCTCTCCGCCTCCGTCTGCATTGATGACCTAGGAGATCGATCCGACCGTAAAGATCTAGCTAGGCTTTGGGGAGGATGAATAGCCTACAAAACGTACCATCTTGTTTGTCATGGAAACAACACGCACACCCCTACTAGGCATGCCAATTGTCGATAGAATATCGTCGGCAGTCCTCCGAGGGGTATCCCACGAAGGTAGATTGATCGGCAGAGATGCGCATAATCTAGAACAAGAAGACAACAGAGACACAAGAGTTAGACAGCTTTAGACCGTCAGCACGATGTAATACCCTACTCCTGTGGTCTATTGGTTTGTATTGGCTATCATATGATATTGCGTGTGTTTTGAGGGGGTCCCCTATCCACCTTATATAGCTAGGGGTAGGGTTACAAGTCGGTTAGATCTAGGAGATAATCGGAAAGTAATAATAGATTACAGGAATTATGGGATAAAACATATCCTAACAGATCTTATAATATCTTTAGGATATCGCCCTTAATGCCTTGCGGTACACATCGAACAATGTCGTGCACCTGAGAGCGCAGTCTATGTAGTCTGCCATGGATATCCGGGGTCATACCCCCATGAGTACTCCCTAGCGGGGCTTGTCAGCCTCCCCCAGAGAAGCTGCCCTACCCTCACCCACGCTGAGGCCTTGTGGTGCCTTCTCTCTAGTGACCTCTGTCTTGAAGAGGCGATCGCCATAGGCAGCTCTCTCAATGGTGAACACTCATCTACTATTGTTCCTACTGAGAGTGAGGTGCTCCCCCTAGCCGTGGCGGAGACTGCACAGCGTGGATACATCCACTACCATAACAACACAGCCACAGTGGCTCAGGACCCCACTCTTTTGACCTAGAAGATTTCAGGAGACTCGCGATACGCCAGGGTCCTGCTGCAGCCACCATCTCCTGCCTGAAGGCCGCTGGGTGGTCACGGTCCAGCGGCATCGCTCCAGAAGGGTAGCCCAAGGAATTGTTTGCTAAGAAGCTCTCCACAGAGGAGCTCATCGAGTCTGTTGTTGCGGAGCTTGGGGCACTGGACATTGACAAGAAGGATCCACCAGATGTGAATCCTGACCCAAAGAACCAGATGGCGTGTGACCTCGTTAAGCAGCCAAGAGAGATGGAGGTGCAACTCAAGGAGCAAAGGGAATGGGTGCAGGGAAAGGTGATACAGGCTGCTCGCAAGCTTGGTGCTGATCTTACAGAGCTGCGTGTGTTGTAGATGGAACATGATGAGAACCAGCGGCGTAAGAAAGAAAAACAGGTGATGGAGGATGACACAATGAAGCACCTTGCTCATCTAGAGAATGAGCTGAAGAAAAAGAGTGGGCAGCTTGACCAGAGTAACACAACTATTTAGAGGAAGGAAATGGAGAATGCAGAGATACGTGCTAAGATGGAAGCTGTGAAACTGAGTGCATCAGAGACTAAAAAACAATGCCAGGGTCTCTTAAGGAAAGAGAAGAAGGATAGCAAAAGGCTTGAAGTCTGGGGGCGTCAGAAAGCGAAGCTAAAAGAGGACATAGCTGAATGCAAGACAAAGATTGTTAGCCCACAGGATCACCGGCTCAGGTGAGTCACCCACTTGCCAGTCTTGCCAACCACGACCGAGCACAACAGAGGCTGTCCGACCACACACACTATGGCTAGAGGTAGAAGGAGAGGGAGAACAGAGCACACACACAGTACAAGCACCAGCATTGGCCGGAGCCCTGTATAGGAGATAGCAAATCTGAACTCTCTTTATTGAGTTGCAGTGGCAAACTATATATACAACTCTATCCATCTAGTCCTAGTACAGCTGCCCTGCTGCAACAGTGACTAGATAACACGGCATGACTGACTTCTGCATCTGTCCCTGCATGTGGCTACAGTACGGCAGGTGAGCCGTTCGGCGCCTGCCTCTATAGTGCTACAGTATCACAGCAGGGAGCCTTTTTAGCGCCGTCTTCCCTTGTTGTGTGTTCACACAAGGAAGCAGTAGATTATCTAACAATTCTTTCCCTAATCCTACTGCTATCCCTTGTACCCCTTCCATGCCGATCATCTACTTCAGCTCCGTGAGTCGAAGACGTCCGAGCGGCTTGGTGAGGACGTCCACGAGTTGTCGACCAGTTTCGACGAACTCGATGATGATCTGCCCTCCATCGACATAGTCCCTGAGAAAGTGGAACTTCACGTCGATGTGTTTGCTCCGGTCATGCAGAACCGGATTCTTTGCGAGGGCGATGGCGGTCTAGTTGTCCACCATCAATGTTGGTGGGTGAGCTTCCGCACCGGTCAGCTCGTCCAGCAGCCAGCGTAGCCACACAACTTGACACGCCATTGTGGCTGCCGCTACGTACTCTGCCTCGCACGTAGATAGCGCCACCACCTTCTTTTAGCGACAGCCATAAAATTGGAGCCGACCCGAGGAAGATGAGCACTCCAGAGGTACTCCGTCGTTCGTCGATGTCTCCCGCCATGTCTGCATCGGTCATGTCGCTCCGCTCCAACAGCTTTGAGACATACGCACTCTAACCGAGCGTGAGTTCCTCCTTCCTTGTCTCACCTCGATGATGAGGTAGTAGGAGAGTGTGCCGAGATCGCTCATTCAAAAATGAGCTGCCATATCGCGCTTGAATATGTTGATGTCCTCCGTACATGCGCCGGTGATGATCAAGTCATCCACATACATGCCGGCGACGAGCTCCTCCTTCCCCCGTCGCCGCATGTAGAGCGTGTGCTCGGTTGCGCACCATTGGAACCCAAGCTCGCCCAGCGTGGCGTCAAGCTTGACGTTCCAGGCTCGTGGGGCCTGCCGCAGCCTGTAGAGCGCCTTGTGTAGTTGGAGCACCATGTGCTCCTCTCCCTTGACGGCGAAATCTGGAGGTTGCGTGACGAAGACCATCTCCACCAGCTCGCTGTTGAGGAAGACAAATTTAACGTCCAAGTGATGTACTATACTATTTTTCCCTGTCCCAACAAACAAATTCTAACTGTTGTACTCTGCAGACTTTCTAGCAACGGCCACAAGAAACTCGTTCCAACAAATACCTCTCGGTGTTACGATTTCCCCTGAATTTTAAAAGCCTTGTCCATCTAACAATCTATAACATCCATCTAACAATCTCTAATTGATAAGTCATGGTTAAAAGTACTATTGACTGATTTATTACGAGAGAAAAATACTATTCCTTCACTGAAAAAATATGGATACACCATTCGACTTCCTATCACGACTCCCGGTTTGCCAACAGGCTGACAGTATCCTTCTCAGCTTCAGGATCCTCCTTGTGGTCATAGGTCACGCCAATGGTAGCCCTTTCGCCATCGTCGTTCGCCGAGCCGAAAACCTTGGGCACACCATCGCCGCCGTCTTCCAGCTCCAGACAGGAGCTGTCGTGCTCGTGCTCCATCTGCTGGAGCTCCGACTCGATGAGAGACTGCATGCGCGCGCGCTCCCTGTCCCTGGGGTAGCTGCAGTACAGGAACGAGTATATGGCGGTGCAGACTATGAACGGTATCGCTATGGACGTGTACAGCGCCTTGGCTAGGGACGCGGCGTTCCCCCGGTCCTGCTCGACGCTCTCCCCCTTGTCGTTCGGCCTGTACCCGTACACTCGCTCAGCCATCAGGCCGACGATCGGTGGAGCAAACGATGATAGCACTGACTCGAAGGAATTGTCCAGGGCGTAGATGCTTGTTCTTAACTTCTCCGGGACGATCTCCGCAAATATTGGGCTGCAAGATGAGCAAAACACTAGTCACTAGAAAAGCAATGAAATTTTGTTTCAAATCTCCGTTCAGAAATTCAACTCAAAATTGAACAGTGAGCAGCTGAATCGCAGCAGAGGGTGATGGATGGCTTACAAGTTTGTGGCTGGACCGTTCCAGGACATGAAGACGCCCATGATGAACAGGACAGCGCCGTAGGAGACGCCCTTGGGCGGGTCGTCGGGGAGGCCCAGCAGCAGCACGGCGGCCAAGGGCACCGCCGAGAGGGGACTGATCTGGGAGAGGACGATCCTACCGGCATCGGGGTACCGCACGGCGAGGAGGTCGCCCATCTTGCCCCCGAGGAGGCCGCCGAGGGAGCTGGCCACCCAGAAGATGGTCATGAGCACGGCGGTGTCGCTGTGGCTGAAGCCTTTGAGCTCCAGCCACATGGACGCGAACGAGAGCGCCGACCACGGGAACGAGCCGCTGACCCCCTGAGACACGAAGATCTGGAACGTGGGGATCCGCACCACGAACTTGGCCTCCTCCATCATCTCCGCGAAGACCCCCCACGCCGTCGCGGCCTGCTTGCCGTCGCGCCTCGGGAAATGGTGGTCAACGGCGAGGAACCAGTTGAGGATCCCGACGGCGACGCTGATGGAGGCCACGAGGTGGAAGGAGACGCGCCAGCCGTCGATCCCGAGGACCGTCGTCTGCGCCAGCAGCAGGCCGACGAAGCCACCGGAGATGAGGCCCAGGCTGCTGGCGAGCTGCAGCCACCCGAACGCCGACCCGCGCGTGCCGTCGTCGGTGGAGTCGGCAACCAGGGACTGGATCGATGGCACAACCAGAGCTAGGCCGATGCCGTTCAGGCCTCGTGAGATTGCTACCTGACATGTGATCGATCGATTTTCAGTGTCCATTAAGCTTTGACAGATCAAGATTTGAAGTCAAATATAGTTGTGCTTGTGCCAGATCCCAATCTATACAAGAGCGTTTTCACAATCCAACTGCACAAAGTACAAAGCCCCTAAGCATGGAATAGCAGCTGCCAACGGACACGGACCTGTAGGAAGGTGTCGGAGACTCCGACGAGGAAGGTGGCGGCGGCCCAGAGGAAGGCCCCGACGGCGATGACGTGGGCGCGGTTGTGACGCGCGGCGGCGTAGGCGGCGAGCGGGTAGCAGGCGGCCTGGACGATGGAGCGGCACAACGAGAGGGCGCCGAGCCCTGCGGGGCTGGCGTGCAGCGCGGCGCCCACCTCCCGGTACACCGCGGGGAGCAGGGCCTCGTCGGCGCGCTCCATGATGGACGCCAGGTTCACCAGCAGCAGCGTCCGCCGCCGGTCACGCTCCTGCTCCTGATCCATCCTGCAAGCTGGCTCTCCCAGCTCCGGTCTCTCCATGGAATCAAAGAGGGCGTGACGCGTGAGCTCAGCTGAGCTTGATGGCCATTCCTAGTCCCCTGTTGTTCCCCATCTCTCCTCTCCGGCGACCCGCAGTCTCTTCTGCTCGCTCTTAGCGGGAAATTCTATATTGCGAGCTTTCTCATCTGAGACCTACGCGTTGGACTTTGTGTTGCCCTCTTTGTTACTCAGTGACATGTTGGGCATGACCATGGGGTCAGGTTGTCAGTGAAGAGAATCTAACGGCCGCGTAGATTTGATAAGAGTGAAATTTACCGCAAGTCCCTGTAGTTCCGCAGGTGTTACCCAAAGTCTCAAAATGCATATATCTATGTCCCTGAAGTTAGTTCGAGTCTCATCCAGGTCTAAACTGGTGTTTAACCGACCTGATAGATGACGTGGCATGCTGACTCAGAGCTTACGTGTTCTAACAGATGGGACCCACATGTCGACGGTAAGGCAAGATTTTAGAAAAATCATGTCTTTTTCATACGACCTTGGGTGAAGATGACTCTTATATGAAAATTATAGCCCTCGATGAGATTTATAATTCTCTAGTTTTGAGTTTTATCATTTTAGGTCGTTAAGATGATAAAAATAATATAAAATTTCAGCAACATATTAATCGTTTAACAAGCTTGTCGATTTAGAAAATGATATCTTTTTTATATGTTGTCGGATAAAAATACTTTCTATATGAAAATTATAGCGTTCAGTATGATCTACAACTTTCTAGTTTTAAGATTTTTATTTGAGATCGGTAAGATATTAAAAAATACTATAAAGTTTTAATAGCATATTAATTCCATACCAAACTTGTCACCTTGAAAAAATTATATCTTTCTGGTATGATGAGTTATAATCAAAGCTACAGCTGCTCCGCTCTACAAACTCTATTGTAGAGCAGCTCCACAAAAATTAGAGTTTCTCCTATAGCAGAGTTTGCCGAGCTACATTTTTTTTTTCTTCAAAAACATAGAGAAGAGTAGTCCCAAACAGGCTTAAACCCTAAGTTATCCACCTTGAAGCCCTAAAGCCCAAGACAAAGAGCCCAATCGAGCCCAGCAGCAAGCCTTCGTTCCTTTTCCTGTCTTCCTGTTCCTCGCTTCCGTTACCTTACCTCTCGCCATTTTCCCCATTTTCCTCGCACTCGCACACATCGACGTGGTCTCCGCGCCGCCGCACGCCATCACAGCCCACCCGCACCGACGATCCATCGTCCAAACCCTATTACCATCGCCCCCGCCGCCTCCGGCTCGCCTCCTGATGGCAGGACAACCGCGCGAGCGCGGGAGTCGCTCGTCCCGGAAGGGCCGCTCCGCCCGCGCGGGGCCCGCACCGGCGCCCCCGCCGGCCTCTGATCCCGATCCGGCCGCCGGAGAGGATGCGGCTCCGTGGCTCCGCGCCACGGCGGACGAGCTTGAGGAGCGCCTGCTCAAGAGGCTGGATGAGGCGTACGCGGCGGCCCTGGCCCGCCTCGCCGACCTCGGCCACGTTGAGGAGGCATCCCTCGAGGCCGTTCTCCACTCGGGCCACTGCTACGGCAAGCTCAACGACCCCGTTTCCAACATCGTCGCCAACGCCCGCGCCTACCTCTCCGACCCTAGCCACGCCGGCTCGTCCGGTGGCTTCGCCGACCTCCGACGCCTTGAGGAGTACTCCCTAGCGGGGCTTGTCTGCCTCCTCCAGAGCAGCCGCCCTACCCTCACCCGCGCCGAGGCCTTGTGGTGCCTTCTCTCCAGTGACCTCCGTCTCGAAGAGGCGATCGCCATAGGCAGCTCTCTCAATGGTGAACCCTCATCTACTGCTGTTCCTGCTGAGAGTGAGGAGCTCCCCCCAGCCGTGGCGGAGACTGCACAGCGTGGATGCATCCACTACCATAACACCACAGCCGCAGCGGCTCAGGACCCCGCTCTTTTTGACCCAGAAGCCTTCATGAGACTCGCGATACGCCAGGGTCCTGCTGCAGCCACCATCTCCTGCCTGAAGGCCGCTGGGTGGTCACGGTCCAGCGGCGCCACACCAGAAGGGCAGCCCAAGGAATCGTTTGCCAAGAAGCTCTCCACTGAGGAGCTCATCGAGTCTGTTGTTGCGGAGCTTGAGGCACTGGACATTGACAAGAAGGATCCACCAGACGCGAATCCTGACACAAAGAACCAGATGGCGCGTGACCTCATTAAGCAGACAAGAGAGATGGAGGCGCAACTCAAGGAGCGAAGGGAATGGGCGCAGGGAAAGGCGATACAGGCTGCTCGCAAGCTTGGTGCTGATCTTACTGAGCTGCGTGTGCTGCGGATGGAACATGATGAGAACCAGCGGCGTAAGAAGGAAAAACAGGTGATGGAGGATGACACAATGAAGTGCCTTGCTCATCTAGAGAATGAGCTGAAGAAAAAGAGTGGGCAGCTTGACCGGAGTAACGCAACTGTGCAGAGGCTGGAAATGGAGAATGCAGAGATACGTGCTGAGATGGAAGCTGCGAAACTGAGTGCATCAGAGACTGAAAAACAATGCCAGGGTCTCTTAAGGAAAGAGAAGAAGGATAGCAAAAGGCTTGAAGTCTGGGGGCGCCAGAAAGCGAAGCTGAAAGAGGACATAGCTGAATGCAAGACAAAGATTACACAAGCTGAAAGGGAGCTTGCTGAGGTCAACAAGGCAATAAAAAATATGGAGGTTAGGAAGAACTTGAACATTCATCAGTCCGATTATTTTATATTATAATTCCATATTTTTCTGTTTTGTTATGTATTAGGTGGTAAGAGTCATATGTCAGAAGCTTTCTACTAGGAGAGATTGAATATCTACGATTTAGCATAGCTGTACGAGACTACTGTTGTGGTGTGTTTTGTATATTCAAAATTCATAGGACTAGCACATCCAGCCAGCTCAACCTAGTGTTAGTGTGACCCTGAGCTACCGCCTGGCTAGTTTCTTGCTTACTGTATTAGGTTCGGAGAGGTTTGTTAAGTACTTAGGTGTGTTATTTTGTTTTGATTGTTCTCTATATTATTAATTTCCTCGTTAGGCAATCCCTATCTTTAAAAGGAATAATTCAGGCAATGACTCCTAGTTCAGTGGCAATTTGTATCACATTTGTGAATTTATTTGTCAGTGACACGGGACTCCTGAACCGCATGCCATATCCTAAATTACCACTGCATGCCATATCCTAAATCATCCCCTTTAAAAGGAGGGGTTGTCAGTGTAAGAAGGAATTATCAGGAACTCACTCTCTTTGAGCCCCCCCCCCACCCCCCCCCCCACCTCCATGCCATAGCTGGCTATTTGTGTGACGGCTCTATGTTGTTGAATCATTCCCTTTAAAAAGAGGGGTCGTCAGTGTAAGAAGGAATTATCAGGAACTCACTCTCTTTCGAGCCCCCCTAGGCACAGCCGACTATCTGTGTGACAGCTCGATGTTGTTGGGGTGGGCCAGGACCCCAAAACCTCCTACCTCACTCATATCCCATCCACCCTTAAACCCTAGGCCATATCTATTTGGAATTACATATCGGTCATTATAAGAGACAGCTAGCCCATTGAATTATTAGGTGATCCTGAATAGATTATAGAGTCCTCTTATAGGAGATTAAGGGTGTTTAAGGAAGAACTGGTGGTGAAAATAGATTTATCATGAAACCAGGGACTAAAGGTCTCTTCATCTGATTGCATATATTCATATGTTAATGAAACTTGGAAGCCAATAAATAATTAAACATACAATCAGGGATCCAAACATTTGTGTCTTGGCGATAGAGTGTATCGTTTCAGGCATAGATAGCATAGAACTACTCCATGCTGCATCTTTGTTGGTTTTAGAGGGCTCCACAACCTTTAATAAGTGCCTGCACTTTTGAACTATCGGGCCACAAAATGCATATTTAATATATTGTTGGTATGCAAATGCTAGTCCAAGTTATAATTATTTGGATCAGTTTTAGAATTTGGGGTGTCCTAAGTGATTATCTATGCATATGTCAATGCCAGTGTGCTATGGGTTTCCCCTTTATTATGCATTAGTCACGTGTATCATGTACTGGGAGAGGAAGAACACGCAGAAATGTGGTGTACACAATCATTAGTTAGTTGTCACTTGGGTTTGCTAAGTTTATGGTATTGTGATGTTGGCAGCAGATGATCATTAGCTATGTGATCCATTCTGTGCATGTTTTAGTTTTAACATTGCTGTGAAGGACAAAAATATTACACTATCTTTGTTGGTGTTGGTGATTAATTATTTTCTATGTGGTAAATGGAATGTGCATTCTTTTACGGTACCAATCATCCTTAAATTGGTGTGGCGAAGGGCACATTCATAATTTTATTCCTAAATGATCACATATAATGATCCTGTGCCGTGTTACATTATTTTCTTGCTTTATGGTGCACCATGTAATCCTGTCTCGTACTTTGGTCCTTGTTTTTATCATATCCCAGCTTCCATGGCAATCTTGTTGACCTCCATGCTCAGTTTTGTACTAAATCTGTTAACATTGATTAACATTTAGTGAAAGCTATTGCGTAGCTAAAAATATAATAAATGGTTGCAAACTTTTGTATTAGCGTTTAGTGTATGTTTTCCATGGATAAAACATTTGAAATTAGTATTATTCCCATTCTGTACTATATCGGGCTGTGCATTGAGGTGATTAAAATAGAAAATTGCCTCAATCAGTGTTACCTGAAAACAAAAATCTCTTTGATCAGTCTTAACCTTTGATTTATTTGGAACTTATTATTACTTCTTCCTGCATTGCAAAGGTTGCCTTGTAATTTGAACTGATTGAGCTCTTAACTGAAGCGGTTGCACTGTCTGTTGTGAAGACAGGAATTATTGAATTATATTTTGTTCCCTCTGTTCCAAATTAAAGGTAGTTTTAGTTTTGTTATAAGCCAAACTTCTCTAACTCTGACTAATTTTTATAAGAAAAGCACCAACATCTAGAGCATCAGTTAGTTTCATTAAATCCACCACGAAATATGTCATGACTTTTTGGTCTTTAGATGTCAAAAGATTTTTTCTATAAACTGGTCAATGTGTCTAGGTACAGCATTCTTACAATCAAAAGTTATTTTGAAATGATATTCTCCACATTCTCTTAGAGAAACCATTGACATTTAAAAACAAGGTAATGATGGGATTACTTAACCTACCACTGCTGTCCAGTATGCAGAGGTTGCCCTGCTTTCATTTGGATCTCTGTTCCATTTTTTCCTTTTTGCTAATAGTACCTGATAATCACTGTAAGCTTCGCCCTGTACTCTGGTCATCACGTCTTATTTGTTATTTTACCATTAATTGAGCGATGACTTATGTGAGTAATGCCCGTTGCCCCATTGGCAATTACAATCAGGTTCTTTAGTTTTCTGTATATGTACCTTAACTGGGTGATTCATTTATGGTTGACACAAATTGTTGTGTGTTCGTCATTTATATTCAGGGCACTGAAAATCTGGCCTTTAAAAAAACAAAAAACAAAACTCCTATCACATCTTTCTATGGCCTTATCATCCTTTTCTTTTCTAGCAACTGTCTTTTCTCGGGCACTAGGAGCACTTCATTTCATGCCTTGTGATGGTGGTTTTACTTTTCTCTCTGTGTTATTCATTGTTATGATGTGGATTTTAAGTATTTCTACCCTAGTGTTTTGCATCGTGACATTGCCTAAATCCCAATGAGCTAATAACTGTAACAACACAGCTGACTGTATATATGTTTGGTTTGCAGAAAAAGATAAGAGAAGACACAAGGGCCAAAGAAGAAAACATGGTGCTTTTGGAAGAGGAGCGCAGGAAGAAGGAAGCTGCAAAAGCAGACTCTGACCGCCGACTTGAAGAGCTTCGTCGTAAGAAAGAAGTCGAATCCCAATGCTACAAGGATGACCTACACAGGCTCCAGGATGAACTCAACCGCCTGCAGAAGTCAGCAGGTGCAACTCAACCAGCTGTCCCATCAACCAACTTTCCTGGCACAGCTAACCGAAGCTCAGCGCGGGCACCCAAGCAGCAGCCCATCCAGAGGCCACAACCTGCATCCAACCGGCCGCTGCCACCACCAGCCCAGAAGCCAAGTCGCCGCCGGGACTGTGTTGTCTGCAAGAAGGAGGCAGCTTGTGTGATCCTACTCCAGTGTGCTCACCAGGTCCTCTGTGTTGGCTGCAATAAGCTGCATGAGGATAAAGGCATCTCTCGCTGCCCCTGCTGCAGCGCCAAAGTGGAAGAGAGAATCAGGGTTTTCGGTGCGAGCTCCAACTGAGGCACCAGGTTGGGGTGAAGTGGAACTTGTGGTTGAATTTTCTTTTTTCTTTTACCTCCGTTACTGTGAAGAAAGGGTTATAGCCTTATAGGTATCACCTGAGCGGTTATACTTTGCTACAGCATCCATGGATGCTTGCTGAGCTAAATTGCAACTTATCTTGGGTATTATATGCGTATAATCCAGACCTTTTTGGAGACAGGAATTGATGCTTAGTCTGGACTTAATCTTTATTTCCTCTTTTTTTTTCCTTGCTTGAACTTGATTATCTGGTATTGCGAAAGTTTCTGGGAAGTAGACAGGCACGGGCCAGTTTGTTTGCCGGAAGAAATTTCGGCAGTTGTTGTTTGTGGAATTTTATACTTTGGAGGGCTTGTTTGTGATGCAGGCACATTGTGCGACATCGAACAAAATTTTGTGATGGGTTGGTGTCAGCTACTGGGCTTAGTTGGGCTACAACACTAGACCGAATGCATGGGCTTGCAAAGAGGCTCGCGGCCTAGATCAATCAACTAGACTTACGAGTAAACTAGAAACGGGGCGCGGCGTTGCCGCGCCTGTCCCGGACACCTCGTCTAGATTTGGACCAGTATTGCAATGGATAGCAAAACATAGAGAAGACAGTTGACAGTTCACTATTCATACCTAAATGAAGCACAGAGGATCACATTGAAATGAATTTCAGAACTATGTAATATGCTCTTTGAGGGAGTATAAATGTTTTATTCCTTAACAAAGAGAAGGGATTGTTCAGATAATGATATATTATTGAGGTGCAACTTTATTTGTTTATATAAAAGCGTTTGTTCCGATGTCTTGGAGAACCTGCAATTAGCCATGTATGTGAATTGGAAAATGAAAAGGAAGAGCCACATGTAAAACAACCTGCACCATTTCCAGATTACAAGGTATGATTGTAATTTATCCGGTAAAGAGTTAAAATTTCTGGTCAGAGGCAGAAGAATATGCTCCTAAGTTTCTATCATGATCTTTTTTATGAAGAATAAAATATAATTACTTCGGGAGTATAAAAGATTTGCACCGCCGCGCCTTCCCTTTCGATTAGGCCAGTGGCAATAAGAATATAGGTGTAGTGATGAGAAACTCAGCAATTTTTTATTCATTTTATGATTTTTATGTATTTTCGAGACTTTATCATCATGAAGGTATAATTTTATTTACCCCTAAAAAGCATAGGTAAAAGTTTATATGAAAATTTTCTTACTAAAACATGCCATATTATGGATGCACTGCATAGTTCTACTCGTGAGGATTTCAGATCAACTTGATTTTCTAATTTACAATTTTTCTGTGATTTACTATGCAATTTTAAAGTTTCAGCTATTTTTTTAAAAGGGATATAATCAAAGGTGGCTTGAATGTTGATTTGAGAAAAATCTTAGGAGGTTTTCGCAAAAATTGTTGAGAGGGTCTCTGGAGCGCGGGTTGATTTTCGATAAAGAGAATGTCTTGTTTGCAAAAAACCAGTAGCCCATCCGATCTAGACTGCGCGTTGATTTTGAAATAATCTGAGGTGTTTTTTGAAAAATATACTGAGAGGGTCTCTGGAGCGCGGGTTGATTTTCGGAAAACAGAAGGGTTTTTTGGCAAAATGATAGCTGCTTGCCTGATCTGGGCCGTCCACGCGCCCGATCGAACGACCTCGAAAAGCAGGTGGCGTGGCCACGCTGCCTGGCCCTTTTTTATTGCATGATTCGTATAAGAAGATGTCAAGAGCGGTGGGCTTGCAAAGAGGCTCTTGACCTAGGTCAATCAACCAGACTATAAGAGCAAGTATAGTAATGCCTAGTCAGCCGGCTGAATGTGTGTCCACTCACAAAAATCTGACCTGGCGGATACAGTATAGGAGAGAGAGAGCTAGGTGGGCGCCTCATTCTTCGTCGGGCGAAAACACGGTGCACAAGGAAAAAGAGCCTGCATCCAGCCGAAGCGGGCGGTAGAATCGACTTTTGGCTCCTCCATCCACCTGACAGATGGCTTATTAAATACTCATATAGCCAAGGAAGCAGCTAACCAAACAGCCAGCTTATTATATGTTTGTTTGCTAATGTTGGCTGTAAAGTGATATGGCATGAGCATTCAGCTGGTAGCTGGCAAAATCATTAGTCTTGCTCTAGATGTCAAGAGTGACAACATCTGTTAGAATTGATGAGTCGTCTTTCTCCACTGCCCAAGAACTATGTCCTACTGTGCATGCTATCAACCTCTGTTTCCTTCTTGTTCGTGGTCTAGTTCCACTAGATCAGGTCTAACTTGCATTGCATTTAGATCCAGTGGCGTTGAAAGGTGCGAATGAAAATCCTTTAAAAATGAATTTAAAAATGCTAACTCAGTGCTAAAAGAGTTGTTGTCATGTGGGACGTTGTTTGGAGTTAGCGCATTTGAATTAAAAAAGGTTTGAGAGAAGAGCTCGGCTACGGTTTTAGCATCCACCGGAATTGTCCGGTGGAGGTACTAAGGGACCATCGGAGAATGCGGTTGTTGCACTGTTGAAAGCTCTAATTTAGTTTTGGTGAATTGATGAAACCCTAAGTGCTAACCTATGTGCTCTAGTGATTATGAGATAGGTAGCACTTTCCAAGTGGTGGAGCAAATGAAGATCATGGTGATGGTCATAATGATCAAGTGCTTGGGCTTGGAAAAGAAGAAAAAGAAAAAGAAAAAGCTCAAGGCAAGGTGAAACTTAATAGAAACTTTTTGGTTTGGTGATCGAGACACTTAGTGAGTGTGATCACATTTAGGATTGATAGCCGTATTATTAAGAGGAGTGAAACTCATATCGAAATACGGTTATCAAAGTGCCACTAGATGTTCTAACTCATTGCATATGCATTTAGAATCTTGTGGAGTGCTAACATCCTTGAAAATATTTGTGAAAATATGCTAACACACGTGCACAAGGTGATACACTTGGTGGTTGGCACATTTGAGCAAGGTTGGAGAAGTTGGAGAAGTGGTTTTTCACTAAAAAACACTGACCGGACTCTGCTATCGAAGTGACCGGACGCAGGGTGGTGAGTCTGGTCAATTATAAAATCGTTGGCTCGCTCGGGCTCAGTTTGGTGGTTGATCGAACGTTGCACAGTCTTTGTGACCGGACGCGCAGGACCTGCGTCCGGTCACAGGTGACGTATGATGACGTAAGCGGTTTGGCGAGTGAGAAGAGGACCTGATGCTGGGCGCGTCCAGTCGCTCCTGATCGGACGCGTCCGGTCATCAATTTGACGCTCTAAAACCTCTCTATAAATGACCTGACGCTGGGAAGCTGCGGGGAGCAGTGTGTCCGGTCACTCGGTGTAGGTGTTCGCACGCGTGTGTGCTAAGCTACGGATCGGCGTGTCCGGTCCTTGTGACCGTGCATCCGGTCATGACTTAACGCGGGCGCGGGAGAATATAGCCGTTGAGATCCAGCGGCGCTCGTTTGAAGGCTAGGACGCGTGGCGTGCATCCGCTGATTGGACGCTGGCTTGGGTGCATCTGGTCGCCCCGACTAGCGCGTCCGGTCGATACGTAGTGAGCTACTCTGTGAGCCCAACGGCTCTATTCGTGGGGGCTCTCTATTTAAGCCTCATGGCCGGCTCAAGCTCACTCTCTTGGCCATTTGCATTGACATAGCAACCTTGTGCGCTTAGCCAAAGCCCTCCCACTCATCTCCATCATTGATTCATCATCTTTGTAAGATTGGGAGAGAATCCAAGTACATTGCTTGAGTGATTGCATCTAGAGGCATTTGGTGTTAGTATTTCGCTGTGGGATTCGCTTGTTACTCTTAGTGGTTGCCGCCACCTAGACAGCTTGGTGTAGCGAGGATCATCGAGCGGAGAAAGGTGCTTATCTCCGGCTTCGATCATGGTGATTGTGAGGGGTTCTTTATCATTTTCCGGCGAAGAGCCAAAAGGTACTCTAGTAGATTGCTCGTGGCTTGTGTGATCCTCATCTTCTGTTGGTTGCGCGGCACCCGATTACGGGTTTGGCATGTGATGCCAATTAAAGCGTGAACCCCCAAGTGAGTGAATCACCACAATGAGGACTAGCTTGCCGGCAAGCAAGTGAACCTCGGTAAAAAATCTTTTGTGATCATTGTCTGAGGATTTCATTGGTTGTCTTGTGATTGATTGTGATCATCTTGTGATTGGCTAACTCCTTGACACATCGGTATAATCATCACCACCATCTCTTGTATTACATTCTTAGTGTTGATACGCTCTTTAGTGTAATTAGTTTTGAGAGCTAACTTGTGTCGGGTCTAGTGGTTAGTGATACTCTTTAGTTAGTCTTTGAGAGCTCGCTAACTTAGTATAGTGACTTAGCCAATTGTGTGCTTAGAGATCATAGTCACTAGAATTGTGGCAGGTGGCTTGCTTTTTAGTAGGCTAGCGCAATACTCGTTTCACCGTTTAATTGTCTAACATCTTTGCTAAGTGTTGTTGTAGAAATTTTAAATAGGTTATTCACCCCCCTCTATCCATTAGGACCTTTCAAGTGGTATCAGAGCCGTGGTCACCTTGATTTGAAGCTTAACAACTTCGGTGTTAAAATGGCTCAAATCAATAACACGAAGAAGCCACCCTAATTTGATGGCTCCAACTATCCCTATTGGAAGGCTAAGATGACAACATATATCAAGTAAATCAATAGAAAGGTTTAGATATGAGAATCTATACTTGGTTGATTTCAATGCTAGTGAAACTCAATTATCTACATGCTTGTTCACTAAGTCTAGTATGAGTTGTTATGGCATAGAAGGCTTGGTCATGTTGGAATGAAATAATTGAATAGATTGGTTAAACATGACTTGGTTAGAGGCTTGAAAGATGTGTTTGAAAAGGATAAACTTTGTAGCTCTTGTCAAGCTGACAAACAAGTTGAAAACACTCATCCTAAGAAGAGCATTATGAGTACTAGTAAAGCATTTGAGTTGTTGCACATGGATTTGTTTGGGCCAACACAATACACTAGCATCGCTGGAAACAAATATG